TATATGAGAATGCTCTGATATTCAAACATGATGTTTATTCTTGAATCTTCAACCTTGGGCTACTTTTTTACATGCTGTTTACTCATCTCTTTCAGGGTAGGCGACGTAGTGTTGAGCTTAGTAGTAGTTTCACAGCAGCAGGAGATGAATTCAGAGTGAATATGAAGTCCTATTTGACACCATAACACCAACGGTGTAATCGTATATATGCGTATCAAATGTTTCTACCGTTGCGCTACTTCAGCTAGCTTTACTGCTGATTATTCTGGCGTTACTTTCCCTGAGGCTTTTACTACATGTCGTAATAAAAACTTTGTGGGATATAAGTGTCAACGGCGATATCATGACGCATCATCGCTTTGTTGATGATGACACAGCAGCAAATAGTGTAGAACACCCAAAGCACGACAGAGAACGCAACTCGCCAATGTCGATTAAATTCGCCTTCTCTTGTTCGGCTGGGTTTTGACATGTCCTCTCGAACAAGCCAACTCCCTACCTTTATCGCTACTGATATCATGACAGTGTTGATCCACAATAGTCAGTTTGAACCATTACAATGACGCAACACTTTGATAGGACTAACGTGAGTATACCACAGAACATGCTCTGTCAACCCATAACTACACTCGCTAACGATCGAGCCACCCGTCGTTGGATGGACTCGCATTCACCCGATGCCTGCAAAGCTCATAATGACGACAACGTCAACAGCCCCGCCCACCTGACACTTTTCATCGCTGCATAGTAGGAAGGTTTCCTGTAGGTTATCATCCCTATACGGCGACAGGAGTAGGGAGCAACACTGCACTTGCTGAGAGCTCAACAGTGGCCTTTCTGAACTGATAGCTGCTGACTTACATCATTCTCTGGCGATCCAGACTGGTCCTCACATACCATCTGCAACCAGCAGCACGCATGCACAGCGGCTTCCATGAACATCTTACCTCCTCCTCCTCAGTAGCATATCGAAACGGCAACAGAGCATTACTTAGTAAAAACTCGGCTATTCGCCTTTGAAATGAAATGCCTCTCTCAGCCAGAGGGTTCTAAATCATCACCCTAACCATTCTATCGGAACACATAAGCCTCCTACTTTCGGACAGTTCCCATCCGTACACAGTATGTAAGTGCTGATGATAGTATCTTCCCCCTTGCCACACCCCTCAGGAGCAATCATCACCGAGCAACAGCAGATCGCCGACTGACCATGCCCTGCTTCCTGGCGCGACGCCATAGCACTCTCTCTATGAGTCTTCCTTCGACGTCGTCTCACCGACGTTGGACGGGAAATTTTCGATGATTTCGTTTGCTCCTTAGCCAGATGCCTCCATCGTTCGAGTTTATCCGGTTGTGGTGACACGGCTTCATTAACTCCAGTTTTAACTTTAATTCCTTTCTGGCATTTCGCGGTAGATTTTCCCAATACCACCGCGCGCCTGCAAACGACTATCGGTTCAAATTCGTTCTTCTCCACAGCATGGACTTTATCATCTGCCCATTTTCTTTTTATTAACGACCTCAGACAGATCGAGCACCATGACCGCCGACGCTTTCTACTATCACTACTGCAACAAGCTCCCATCAGCAGGCGGTTAGCATTAACGCTATGCCAACTCTACTGCGATGAACGAATAAGCCCGAGCAGAACCAAACAGTATAATTCGGGTTAGTAAAAGAATTAATATTCGTGATTATCAACCGCTACTGTCAACATAGTACTTTCAATATGACAATCGACGTGGTCACCACCTTTTGAGATGACGCTGATGATAAGTGAAATAATATTGGGCTTCAACTCACTTCACAACGGGAAGTGTCAGGGCACTCTCTGCGGTGTACAAAATCACCCAGATCAGACGAAATTACGATTCTTGAACAACACGGGTGCCACCAAAGTCCATGCGAACAGCGCCAGCATCGTCCATAGTGCGGTAACTTGAATCCAATAGTCTAATTCACGAGATGCCGACCGGCCCTCAGCTGGTGTGAGAGGATCGCTGATCCACTTAGTGCTCAGTACTGTCAAATACATTGCTCCTGTCAGATGCACTATATTGAGGAACCTGAAAGAAAAATGAAATTCCGAGTGATATTTTATAGTTTTCAATCTTACAGAACTTGCCACCACGACACAGTAGTAGATTCCTCATTATCCCCACTGCCCGTCGCTGTTGTCGGGCGCGTCGCTCCGCCATTTTCAATATCCTTATTCTGGCCTGAACTCTCAGTAGCAGCAGTAGCACCGACATCAATGTTGGCGAGCTGAAACACCGCGTCGTTAGTGCCTGACAATTCAGAACCAACCCTGGGTAACTTGAGATCTCATTCACCCCTATCATAGCGATAATCGTTAGAGTATTCCTGGTCCTCTATGTCAACAAGACGAGTCCATGCTACTACTACTACTACTACTACTACTACTACTACTACTACTACTACTACTACTACTACTACTACTACTACTACTACTACTACTACCCTCAGCCTTAGCATCACGTTTTTCCTGTTGGATTGTCGCTACCGCAACATCGTCCATATTAACCTCATCTTGGCGTACCAATACCGGGTTAGCAACTCTTGTTGACATGTATATGAACACCACCGATGCCACTATATACCCAATGACCTGTCGTGCCGCGTTTGGCGAGGCCTCGTATGCATAGTTGGACAGCGAAGAGCAGTACGCTAGCCACGTCACATACATTGCCACAACACCACTCGGTAGTAGCGCTCCCTGAGGTAACAAGACTACTTATCATCACAGTCATCAACCTTACCGCTTTCGCCCATTCCGTCCAGGAGAAAATTACGAGAATTATGGTAATTATAAACGTAATAGACAAGACCGCATTTAGTGTAGCCGATCCACCAGTGAGTGTGAACATCCAAATGAATGCAGCGATGAACCACAAGTAGAACACCACCGAAATCGTCGTGAGCGCGATATACCTGTTAAGTTAAATACTTCTATCACGTCTACTATTACTAAAATGTCACCATTTTCGTCCTGCTTTCTCGTTGAGCATATCGCCCCTTTGGTCCTCAACCGCGTTAGCCACCCACAGATCGTTCCAGGAGTATCCGAAATCCAACAACACGACCAACTGCAACACTATGAAGATGAATAGAATGCCGGTGTAGACGTCAATGAGAGTGTTGAAGAAGGAGTTCGGCACGAACATAAGGATGAAGCCCAGACCAGGCACTAGCAGGAACTTCAATATCCACCTGTGAACAAAAAAATCGATAAAAACCTAGCGGAGCGACGCAGTTGATTATGAACACGCTGTGAGCGATATACAGTATTGTTGTGATTTGATAAAGACATGAACATCATCAGTAATATGTGGAGTAATAAGACTATAGATCGTATCAACTCTCCGCTACTACAACTACACAGTGTCGACCCGAAAACAGCCCTATTCCCATGATTTTTAACAGATTTTACACTCAGATGAGAAGCGATAAAAATACAAACATGTAGATCTCAAGAAGAGCATATGACAACTATGGAAAGTCTGTACGAACTTACCAGGCGCCAGTGACTGCCATGCCCACAGTAGACCCCAACAGGCTGAATATGCACTGAATGAGGAATACTATAACCGCACCTGTGCCAAAGCGGTAACCGAGTTGATCTCTGTAGCACTGCTCTATCGTATCCACTTGATCTGGCGACAGACCAGAAGCTCCAGAGTTACCACCTGATCAGCGACGTGTGAGCAGCCACATTGCATGATGACGGTAATATTACAGTTGTTTATTCCGGGTACACCATTGAGCCAGGATGCAGGATTGGTAGTACGAAACACTAACATCAACACTACTGCTAATACTTGCAGGAGGAACGCCAACCCTTTAACGATCTGAGTAGAGAATACTCACGATCAATACCGCTATTGGTATTCATAATAGTATTGACCTCGTAGATTGCAACAATGCTACAACTAGTAGTAATATCACTAGTATTACAGTATCACCAATAGTATAATACTGATAGTACTGTACTACTAGTAGGGATAATTCACTATTCAGATCACTAGACCAACGCTACTACTGCTATAATACAACACCTTGTGATCACCAAGACCCCTTCCTCCCCCTCTACTACTACCTTTATAGAATCCGTATTACCACTAGTACCAACACAGCAGCAACAAGCTGCAGCGATACCTGTGATAGCGCAACAACCCATCTTATTATAATAACCTTAGCACTCACGATGTTCGGTGATAGCCCAACAACAACAACAACAACAACAACAACCTCCGTACTAGTGAGTGAAACTTAGTTCAAAGCATAGTTAAAAAGTATAATATAAATAGTATAAATAGTATAAAGCATCAAATAAAATAGTATCATAGTATAAAGCATGTTTTGTAAACTAGACGTTAATCATGAGCATGATAATCATCTCAAAATCACGATAGAGATCAGACCAACACACCATTGCATTTTCTGATGTTACCATCGACCCCCCAGGAGTAAACCAGTTATAAAGGGAGTGGTTACCATGAGTAATGCGACACATTGGGAGGGGGCTTTCATCATCACCACTGAGCTGAAGCACTCCTACTATCACACTCCTTTCCTTGAAGACCAGAATGACCAGCCTCCTGTGGGCTCATCAGCAACCTTTTCATACACTAACACACTTCTTGTCGTCCTGTTTCGGGTGAGTCTACTGTCATCGCACTACATATTAAACCCATATCGATTTCCTATCGTACCCTGGCTCACCTCTTTCCGAAACGACAGATCCCTTCTCAGCTCGCTGTGCTCATGGGAGTAGTTGTGCTACTCTACACACGAGGAGAACCAAATACTCGGCAGCTAATACGAAAGCTAAGCAGCCTATTGCTGAACAACTACCGTTGACTCTGCTCGAGATGCAATACTAGGCCATTCGATAAGATACTCCATGATACCATCCGCACCGCACTCCGAAGATTTCTACCACTCCCTCTGCATAGGTCCTATGCAGAGGGAGTGGTAGAAATCTTGATACCTGGATACCTGTCTACCCTGGATACCAAACCAAAGCGGGTAGAGGGATTCGAACCAGTAGAGTATCGAATTATAGCCGCTGTAGGGGATGGACAGTGGAGGGACCCTCCATCACGCCTTGGTCAGCATAGACACGGAGTGGTCATATTCACCAGAGTCCCCTACAGTAGACTACAGATATCACATTCGCTGCCTTAACCATTTCTCCTACTATGCTTATCGTTTCCCTCGAGTATCTACCAGTATCTTTTAGTATTACCAATATTCACTTCCACTAGTAAAACAACAACCACATTATCATTATTCCAGAATGTCCAGTAGTAGATTGGTAACTTCAATTCCACAAGATATCTCTATACTAGTAGATTCACCGAGTCGGATGATATCTATAAGTAGGAATCCCTCATGATACCCCCGACTAGCAGTAGTATTTCTGACCTCCACATGTTCAGGGGCCGTATGCGGACTCTGATGCAATAGGTGAGAAAAGGTTTTTACTCAGATGAACAACATCAAAAGGTGAATATTAACCCCCGACTCCCTGATTTTCCAAGCTAGAGCGAGAAATTTAGGTCACAGCGTTAAATAATGCTCTCCCCGAATCCGGTAAATCGATCAGTTGGGCGCACGCGAGTCTGTCGGCGATCGGAACATATTCGGCAACCTATGGTAGCGTATACGATCGAGGTTGATTGATGGCCGATAATGTCGAAGGTGCAGCGACTGGACGATGATACTGCTGATGTTAAAACAGCTCTGAAGCGGATGTCTCGCAAACAGCGAAGGGAAGCCCTACGGAAACAGCGAGAGGGGGCGAAAGCCAAGGGAGATGAAGTCGTCCATTGTAGTAGGGGTAGACAACCGTATAGATGGATAAACACTAAGTATCAATAAAGACTGTTGGGGAGTTTATAAGGAAGACATATACTTCAAATTCGGAGCAAGTCGTAGGAAATTCACACTACTGATCGGTAGTAATGTGAATTAGACAGTCGAAATGACCACAGCATACGGGCACATGGCATTATAGGCGAACATATATATATGGTGATACTTATATTTCGATATAGGTATCAAGTTTCAATCTAATAGTATAAGTATTCAGGCAGTAGCTTGGGTTTGAAAGTGGTTCTCAGAAGGCTGTTTTAGGTGACTTTTGGGTAGCAGCAAAGCACCGGTATTGTAAATTCCAACCAGCAAAAGGCTCAACTAAGTGCAGTGTGAGGTGACCTCATCGGGACTGTTGTTGACTAGGATGTAGGTCCATCAAGATGATGCTGAGGGGGATAAGAAGCGAGTCCCATGCCCGATCGATCCAAATCATACAGTGTGAGAAATACACGACTTAGGTGATAGTGAAAGATATAGAGTAGGTACGAGCGGAATCTCGAGAAGCATATCGCTGTGTGTAGTAAAACGAAGGATAACGACTTCATTAAAAGACAACCACTTTACGATGAGGGATGTAATGATAACAGAATAATAACGGCATGCGGTGAGGATTACTATCTAGATAATATACCCGAGGGAAAGAGGCCAGATCCTACACTAGATGGTGTTTCTATTACCAATGGTGATAATGAGGATGAGGACGCTGTAGTAGAGGAATGGTTGAAAAAGCTGAGCACTGCAGTATGAATAGTACAGCGACTTGATGATCTCGAATACTCTTAGTAGGTGAGAAAGTTAACCGATGAGCTCAGGAAGGATAGCACTACTGAGAGAATCGATATTGATGGTAAAAGAGAGTGACTTAATCCTGCGGTCAAAGTTGATGTCAAGGTGAAGTCATCAATTGTGAAGATGAGGCATCGAATGTGACCACTCGAGTGAAGGAGAGTATAGTGTCCAATGCTGTAGCTGATAAGCACGACATACAGAACGGTAGATTGTTGAAGATTATGGAGAAAGAGGGCATGTTGAGTAGTTGTGATGATGGTGTAATATAGTGCTCTTCCCTGTAGTGTGTATTCTGTCTGTAGATACCGCTCTTCATTGAGTATGGTTGTGGTAAAGGCGGGCTCTCACGTTGGGTTATGGAGTATCGAAAACAACAACAAGGAGAAGAAGTTGGTGGAGCAAGAACATCGAAACCTTGGTAGTAGTAGGAGGAGGGACTCCCTTCGAGGGAGCACTCAAAAATCTCTAGTTTCCGGGGTCTGCACATCAGCATAATGATTAACTGAATAAGGCTAATTCACTGGTACCAGTAAAACGGCATTGGGGAGCAATCCACGGGGATCATCGGAGTGAGAGGTATGGAGTATACCCCTCCCTGGTTACGCACGTTATATACTCCGATGAGTATCTCCATGCACATCTTGCATGAACCGTTGGGTTGAGTACCTATCCCCCATCAACTTCATTGGCATCCACCGTGGGTCCTTGGAAGCAGCTAACCCAATCACGTACTTACGAGTGTTCCACATTAGTGACACACGGAACGGTGCATGCCGGATATGCATGAAGATATTCATCCGAGTATACAGGGTGATCGGGAGAAAAAGGCCTCTTTCCCGTAAATTCTCAGCGCATGCGAATATCGGACAGGTTTTTCCGCCATTTTGAAGCGCTCGGCGAGCTCTTTCCAATGGCGGTCGATTCGCTTTCGTACTCTCGACATTCGCTGAGTTATACCGAAACGAAAAAACGTGTATGGAGGGAAGGGCTGGCATAATCGATTTTCCAGTATTTGCGTCCACATGGACGCAAATACTAGAAAATCCAGTATTAGTAGTACTAATACTAATACTATTAGTAGTAGAGTCCAGTATAAATCCAGATGGACGGTCCATCCATGGTTCAGCTTCCTGCTGTGTTCGCAGAGATGGCATAGGCGCCCCAACCAGGTTTACCGTACCAAAGCCAAATGATGAAACATCGTTGCATATCGCTAAGTTGGACCCACGATGGCATAGGCGCCCCAACCAGGTTTACCGTACCAAAGCCAAATGATGGAATATCGTTGCATATCGTTAAGTTGGATCCACGATGGCATAGGCGCCCCAACCAGGTTTACCGTACCAAAGCCAAATGATGGAATATCGTTGCATATCGTTAAGTTGGATCCACGATGGCATAGGCGCCCCAACCAGGTTTACCGTCAACTCTGGCTCCAGTGATCCTCTAACTATTTACACTTAACCAGGGGAACTTTGATAGAGTTAGTCGACTAGGTGGTGTGGAGAGGACCGAAGACTTGCAGGCCCCCCCCCCTAAAGCTTCGGTCACGGGACAGGTGCCCGACTAGGTGGTGTCGTATCAACGACTCACATCTCACACGGGTCTGTCCCGTCACTCAGTCCACTAAGGAAAAAAAACTGTCAGTTACTAATAATTTTCCTTCGGAATCCTCGGATTATTGAAGCACCTGCGAGCGACCGACCTCGCTCGCCCATCGAAGCACTTCCTCTGGAGTTGACCCTAGCCTCTGGCGAGACTTTCCATACCAAAGCCAAATGATGAAATATCGTTGCCTATCGCTAAGTTGGACCCACGATGGCATAGGCGCCCCAACCAGGTTTACTATTTTGAAGCCAAATGATGAAATATCGTTGCATATCGTTGAGTTGGTTTATCAATAGACGGGAACACTCCAGGAATGCAATCTGCCATCGTTTTTCCCTATACGTGGCTTTCTCCGTATTGTCATACTTTGTCGAATTAAATAAGTAACCGGAATTGATTCAACTATCATTGGAGAGAGCTCGTCGAGATCTTCGCAATGGTACCCGAGCTTGTCTGAAATTCACATGCGCTGGGAAATTCCGAGGGGCGGGCTCTTTTTTTCGATCACCCTGTATAACGTGTGCAACCAGGCAAGGTGTAGCTCTAGGTGTTAGTCCCCATCGGAAGGAATATTGTTTCTATACTGGTAGATATGTGTTGTACCATGCGCTTATCGTCTCTTTAGGACCTTCCTATTAGTCGATAGAGAAGCTCGACGTAATAAACAAGAAAACCGCAGAGACCTTACCAACAACACTTCAACGTCATCAATGGTCATGAGACTGAGAATGGATATCGCTGATCTAAATCTTACTGACCTGTTCATTGCTGAGAAACGAGATCAGAAACAGCAACAACAGGAGGGCACGACAGTATCTTCTACAGCTCATATTGGTTATGATGAGAGACTCGAAAATCTATGGTCTAGGTAGTAGTCATGATTCGGACCTCATTTGTATCCTGCCATTTGGACATGAAGATACCATTCGATCCGATCCCAACCTGAGTGGCCGCCCAAGACGACCTGTTGTATTGCCAAGCACTTGTGTGGTAGTGCTACCGATCTCAGTCTCAGTAGGTTCTCTATACCTACCTGTGGGAGGGATGGCTCATTTCAGGAACGTTACTGTCATTTTCCCGACCATCTGCATTGATAGCAACATGTTGTCATCATCGTTGTGAATACGATATGCTCTGTGGAAAGGAGGTTAGTCGTTGTTTCTAACATTGATAAGCGCGCGCCCCCTTTCATCATGTAGATACTCACTGAGTTACTGCCAGAAGTCTGCGATCCTCAGTCCTTTGCTAAATTGAGGACCATGGCAGGCTGGGCTACTTCTCACGAGCCCTTGTCTAAGGCGAGGCGAGCTAACATATCCCCACAGAAAGCTGAGTGTGGACGATTAGTAAAAATACTAATTGACCTGTGTAGAGTTGCATGGCTGAAGAGAACTATGAAGTAGTTATTCTTATTCAAGATCGTTCTTGGCAATCATCATCTTCTGCTTAGGTGCGATAGAGTCTCCTATACGCCTTACGTTGACAGTAATGTTAGTCCAGAAAATCGTTGTATCGCTGCTGTGGGAATTGCGTAAATCCTCAACCCTTCTCTGTGAACATAAACAAACTTCAAGTTTTATAGTAAATGAAAATTGGTTACTGTTGAGATAGAAGTGCAAGCCCGCGATTGACGAACAGGATACCATAGTATGAATCGATATAAGGGGGTAAAGGGAACTTGAGAAAATGTCCCCTTCCAGCGATCGAGGCGCGACGGGCATGTTCTAGCATCTCTCCAATGCTAGCACATTATCTAGCAACATCTCTACCAATAATCAACATCATGATGATTGTCTATTAACTGCTATAGAAATCGATGACATCAACAACGCTTTGATACGATCCAACTACAAAAAATACCAGACCGAGAATAATCATACCCCATGATGTAACTGCTGAATAATCAAACTTGGATCTGCTCACAACTGTAGCAGTAGAATCATTAATCTTAGTGCTATCATTGACTATCTCGACATCCTTAGCTTCTTCAGAAGGACACTCCTCAACGGTGGCTAAGCGGGCTCGGTGGAGTTGCTCAGCATAGAAGCGTGATTTCAGTAGCCTCACACAGAAACCTCCAGGGACGACGTAGACGATATAAGAGCCTGTGACGGAACCAACAAAGTAGAGGACAGTCTGAACGTCTGGGAGGTAGATGGCGACAACCACGCTGAGGATGATGCTTATAATCACAATGAGGGGACCAATCCACCATTGGAAAGGAGTAGTGCGACCTGAGATGCCTCGGATCGTTGCCTTTACAGAAGCACGGATAGGGAAAATATTGAGGGGGTAGGCGGCGAGAACAGCCAAGGCCATCAAGATGAAGGCTATCGTGACGAAGACATCACCGTTGTTGAACTCTTGTGTCATGTTGGTGACGATAGAACCTTCAGTTGCCAAACCGTAGGTTAGGAAACCAAAAATACCAATAGTGAGGTATGTGAAGAAGCATAGTGATACGGAGATGGCCGAGACGATCCTCATTGAGGACTCCTTGCGGGGGATCAGCTCTGAGTAGATCTGAGGGACATTCACTTGACAGACATACGCAAATATATAACAGAAATGGCACCGATTACGGGACCGAAACCATGGGGTAGGTAACCCATGTGGTAGTAGGGGTGAGATCGACAGACACTCCACGTTTAATGAAAACGTAAAAGATACAAATAGCTAGAATGAAAATGGACAATACGCCCGCCATGGAAACCCATCGAATGTTGTTAATACGATTGACAAGACATAGAGGTAATAGTATTACAGCGACGATAATCGTGAGGACCGTACGATTCAGGAAAGGATAGGCATAAGCCGCATCAGCATGTTCTGGTCCGAAGGCTTTACCGAATACTGGTATGAGGAGATCTGCTACTGTGATGAGGTACGCCACTGCAGTGCCAAAGCAAAAGATGACCATAGCGACTTCGAAAAGATAGCCAGTGAGGTTATTGAAGTATCCTCTAACCAACTCCTCAAAAGTATCCATTTTAGAATGGGTCTGTGCTCTGACAATCATGTTGATTGAGATCATCGACATGATGCCCAAGGCGATGAGAAGTACCACAGAGAGAGGTATACCCGTTGACATCATTGAGCCAGGTAGTGCTAGACTGCCGGCCCCCAGAGTCGCTTTACACAGAGTTACGGCAGATGCTAATAGACCACCGTCTGGTAAAGGGTTCCAACTTGTCTTAGTCCTCTTAGGAGAAGACTCGGCAGATGAGGTCATTTCGGTCATCAGCAAAAAATAACCCTATGCGAGTTCGTTGTATTCACCGATGCACGCATGTACTTCCTAGCACGCATGCACACACGTATACATTTTTCCCCGCATGTCACTATCACATCCTCACCATCCATCGTGATGGTGCTGAATCACACTTAGACGCTAATGTCATTACATAACACTAAGAATGACACTGAACGTATAAGACGTTAATGCAAGGCTTCCCAGCGTCATGAGGAGACAAACAGTAGGTCAACTAAGCACTAGTCGTTCCCTATGTCACCACTGACGAATCGTATCGGGCGACTTCGATCCACCACAATATACAAGGAGGTCGAAGTACTCACCTTGGTATCATAATCCACATGATATCCCCCATCCGCTGTAGCCTCCTACAGTGACTTCTTATGGGCCTGGTTCGACATTCGGCGCACATCTATGTGCTTGCGTGCATCCTAAGATCCACATCTAATGTTGACGGTAGTTCGCCTCAAGGTATAAACGTTACCCTTCCCTCTCCTTTTGAGTCTTTACCCTTAGTCTCCGAAGCTCATCAGTACTTGTGTTATCCAGTTCTTGGGCTTTACTATCACAACACACTCTTCCGCTGCATCCACTCGAACACGTTACCGGCGACTTCACGCTCCCTCAGCTCGTATTCCGCCCTGGGTTCGATGGAGCAGAGCTTCAATGACGACCTACGTCGTCCTTGCTCTCCAAAGCTTCTCCTTTAGACTAATGCTTCATACAATACCCTCATACTTTTTCCCACCTGTTCAGCCGAGGGTGGTACTAGAATTACTTCTTCTGTATCGTCAGAGCCGCTCGAATCCTCCTGCTGTCCCTCAGCAGTGGCCTGCTCGGCCCTCTCTACCGCCCCTTAGTATTGAATCTCCGTAATTCCTCCCCAATGCAAACTGTATCGATGGCCTTCGAGAATGTCTGCGTCACCCACCAGAATCATCAACAATTCAAGAATGCCTCCGTTGCTACCTCTGCGCAACTTCGTGCATCAGACTCTCCCTATAACTATCACAACTAGCATAACTCAGCCGTCGGATCGTACAGAGGGACTCCCTCATCATCCTAAAAACACCCCCGTACAGTGACCTCACAAGCACTGTATACAGCAGCCTCCTCCGCACCCAAGGAAATCTCGATAACACAGAGGATGGAAGTCTCGATAACACAGAGGATGGAAGTCTCGATAACACAGAGGATGGAAGTCTCGATAACACACAGGATGGAAGTCTCGATAACACACAGGATGGAAGTCTCGATAACACACAGGATGGAAGTCTCGATAACACAGAAGATGAGCCTCGCTCTTCCTCTCGAGCCTTAACAACAACGTTGAGTACTGATGCTTTCAATGATGCCCCATACCCCACGCAAACGTCTAAGTCAGTGGTATACCCGTTCTCATATGAGAACATGAGGCATTTCTGGTGACGAACTACTACGTATGAGAAAAGTAGCTCAGTTGCTGTTCCACCAAAGCGCCATTAAGGTCTGAAAGAACGAAAATCTGAGTGCCTTGTGTTCTCTTATATAAAGTTGAAGCTCTTAAACCGAACTGATCGTCGTAAAATTTAGGCTTTCTACCACAAGCGAGATTGATAATATTGAAGGCATCCATGATCAATAACATATGCATCCCTTGCACGCATACGCTATCTTAAGGCGCCTATTCAGAGGGTGGGGCTCCGACAACCTTCAATGCTTAGTGGAGGGCTCAGGAGCATGGAAACGACAATTCCTGTGGTGAGGAAGGTCGTGTCTTATGATGGACTACACACACCCCTTACCAGTTAGGGTGCCATTGAACTTCTGCTATCATCAAAGCTTCTGTTACGACGCTCAATCACACATCTTCCCATCTTGTCAATGGGAGCATCATCGACGTAAGCCATGCTCATTTCGATTAGTTTTCAGGAAGATGAAAATTGTCAGAAGTACGTTGCGTGTGAATACCCCACCGTGCAATTCATAGGCGTACTTTGCGTAATATGGGGCCCACTCCACAAGGATTTCTGACCTAAGGCGCCTCAAGATGCACCTTACGTTTAGGTGCCTAGTTAGAGCCTAACCCCTATTAGGTGCAAGAATCGCGTAGCGCCTTACGATTTTCGTAACTAGCCGAGGCTTGTGAAATGGGCCCCTGGTCGCCATGAAAGGCCAGCATGTCGAGATTAAAATACAGAGGGAGAGTGAAAGCGATTCATTGGAATTCTTACACTTTCCTTAGAGAAGGACTCGAATCTGAAAAAAAATAAGTGTGTGGTGATGCAGGGTCTCTGATGTGGTATCGACAAGTCTCACTGTAGTCTTAGAATCGCCCGTTGTCCCACATATCGTCTCTGCACAAAACGCAACGCAACAGGGACGTAAGGTTTTGTGCAGTGCAAGAATAGTGACAAGCCCCGAGAAAATAGTGACGGAGTCTGTACGTGCCGCCTAGTTCAATGGAGTGCCTGTTCCTTTCATATACGGCTTCAGATCAGGGGGGATAAGCTGGAACCAGTGATTATGATGTCAACCGAGTTATGGTTGCTTACCTCGTCGTGACCGTATTGGCGTTATAAGTGATCGTACACTCATTTTTGGTTGCCTTTCGGGAATAGCTGTTGTCACTTCAGTGAAAGTTTAGTTTTCAAAATGGGTAAATCTAAAGGCAATAAGAAAAGGCAGCAAAAGGAAGAGAGCGAGGCTGTGATCTCTGAGGAGGAAGAACATGCTTTGGACGATGTGCAGGGTGTTGAATCTACTATAGGGAATCTTGAGGTTGATGTTGGCAACGGACAGGAGGTGAAGATATGCGGCTGGACAGTGCAAGGAAGGGGTCATTTAGGTCCCTGTTGATGTAGTGGAAGGAGGAGATGCTGAGGAAAAGGCTACCTCACCAGCAGTAGAAAAAGAGTAATACCACACCATCCTCAGTTCGAGTCTTAACCATGCTCCTTAGGGTAATGGATGATAAGGAAGAGCTCGGGCAGCCTAGCCCCATAGAGACGAGTCAGGAAGTGGACACGGGTGTACCAACAACCCCAGTCGGTCAGGAGACCATGGTAACTCCACAGACGAAGGTAAAGGAATCTTAGGTTCCCGCGAGTAAGATTCAAAACATGTCCAGGTCAACCCCTATTCTCCCCAAGCCTCGACCCCTCCACATCTCGGTAAAGATAATCATATCGTCTTTTACAGTAGAGTTATAACTCAGGTACCACCGAGGATGCGGTGGTTGATCGGCCTGCTGAAGGGAAGGAGATCCTCGTCCAGACCCCCTCTACTGCCGCAGTAGAGGCACCTCCTACAGATGATCAAAACCGGTTCAAGTGGAAGGTCCATAACACTGAGTACCTCCAGAGTAGTCTCCGGGCATCCCTATCGACGGACTATACTACTCCTAGAACGCCTGGTACTATTCACAGTCCTACATAATAGTTGTATTGTTGGTTTCAGAAGCTGACACTACTGCTCCAACAGTCGATAATAGGAAATTCGACGACCCCTCTGAAGTGAAGTACCCCTTGCAACAGGTAGAATGTCCTTTGGTACTAGTAGTCTGTGATGGTCACCTCCTCAGCTATTGGGACTAGCTGAGAATCTCCCTGCTGGAGTCAACCCGGCCAAAAGGGAAGCGTAGGTTTGTTAGGTCACTACTGGTGATGGTGATGCGGTTTGGGTAGGTACCTCTCGGAAGAGGACTTTACCACAGTTTTTGGTAAAGGTAGTGGAGCCTTTTACGCGTTACCAGTGTGGAAACAGCGGAATGCTAAGAAGACCGCTGGTCTTTTCTAATATCACTTGATTGCTTTTTCTATTATCATCATCAAGTTTGCTCGGGCCTGTTTTGCATCCTGTTGTGGGCAACCCTGGATACTGTTTACGACTCTCCTAAGGAGGGAAGATGACACCGATATCATAACTGTATTAGAGCTAGATCGATCGAACTAGGTTGTTGGGTTAGTCGCAGTATGGGTGAGGTTCTCCAATGAACGTGACGATGATGAAGGTAAGTAATTCACCCAGTAGATGTGATGGAATTACGGTATCTCAATAGCGGTGAAGCTGAGAGCGACTCTTAGTTTTGTATCACACCTCGTTGGCGTCCGCCCAGTAAGCTGATGATGCCAGACAGATTCGGTCCCTTGCCCGTATTGCGATGATCATCATCATCTCGATATACTTATGAATAGAGCATCTGCGAAGTGGTGGATGTAAATGTATTCAACAACATCGGGAAACTTTACATGGAGGAGAGCCTTGGGAGTGCCAGAGTGAGGGGTCCAAACAATGCCTGTAGTATGCACAGCGGAGGTGAGAAGATTTGCTGGAGGTGTGGTATGGTAGTTGTGCACGTGAGATGGGCACTGTTGCCTTGAGTCAGAGAACCTCTTAGAGCCCTTGAGAGGCCGGGCACTGGCGACCATACCACTCCTTGGCGGAATCGTCCTGATTAATCTTTGGAATCTGAGAGGGATCCGTAGGGTAGTAGTCACCACCGGTTTATACGGCCAATCCATGACTGATGCATGATGATCATGACGATAGAGATCGGTTACTGGAGGTGGTGTTGTGTTGATGAAGTGGAGGACGCGCGGTATGGGTTGTGATTGTAACAATGGCGAAACGCGAGAAGAAGGGGGTTGTCGAAAAAACCGATTCAAAATCCAGCGGGAATCTCGACAGGCAGTACGAGGAGGCCGAGGCGCTCTGTGACGTGTTCGGGCCCGAGGGAGGCTTCCTATGGCTCAACCGGCCCGACACAGAGGAGGATGGAGAAATGGCGTAGGGCAAAAGGGGGAGGAGGAGGAGGGACATTATGGTGGTCGAGTAGATACTCGGTAACAGTAAAAAGTCTGTCTCCATCTACGCCTCTAACTGCAGTGTTTATCATCACCAACCCAGTGGGGTATCCGGGGAATACGAAGGACCTGCCGGAGATCCTTGCAGTGGAGGGAAGTGAGGCAGTAGCTAAACGGCTGGGTGAGTAGGAAGAGGAGGAGTAGGGGAAATTGTGGTAGATTTCGTTGCAGGGGAATTATCAAAAAAAGCATTGGTAACTGTGGAGTCTGAGCTCAAGGAGGGATATGAGTTTCCTCTCCTGGCAGCACTAGAGGGAGTAAGGCAGCTCTTAACCGAGGTAATAGTCGGGATTGTGTCGTAGTGAGGTTGGACTTGTTAGATTGGAAGTGGTGGAGAGAAGGAAGAGAAAGCAGTAGGAGCGTCGAAGGAAACAACCATTGACGACACTTCAGTTGAAGTGACGACCTCAAGGAAGGAGTAGAGGGGTATTCGATCGATTTAGGATATTCTTAAGTCGGAGCCAACGGTGCTCGGGAGGAGGATGCTGGGGATTGTCCATATTCGTAATAAGGAGCACATGAAGTACTGCAAGAAGCTGGCCAGTAATAGGAAGTGTCGATGGTGTGGTATGGCACTGTAGTGCTGCTGCTGCAGATGAATGGAATTTGGGCGGAATGGGCAACCCGAATGCGATCGTCATTGAAGGGGACGAGAGGCTTTGTATTAAGTACACTGATATTATGATTCAGTAACAGCTATACAAGGAGAGCGGAAGAGTAGTCCTGTGATGCCGTAGTTACATTAAAAAGGTCACAGTACGAGGAGAAGAGCAAATACCCGTACCCAAAGGGGAGAAAATGGATGACCTCAGAGCTTTACCAAAACATTTCGAATTCGTCAAAATTGACGAAATGGAGAAAATCGCGAAACTGTAATGGCTTCCCTTCTACTGGTGTTGGGAATCGTTTTCGCTGTAGTTGCCGTGACCACGGTTTGGAAGAACTCTTCCTAACCTATTTGAAGGTCTACGGCGGTAGGCAATCATCTAAGAAGTGATGGAAGTTCCCCCGTTGTGGGGAAGCCACCAGTGACGATATGAACTGCTGTTGTTACTGATGCTTCTACTCCTTCAATCGGCCTAGGTTGAGTTCATTGCAGTGAGGGGGTGGTCGGAGTTGTTCGAGGAGTGCGATGGACAGCGATGATGGTAACTTTATAGCGGCAAGGTGTATACTATTAGCGAACTTATCGAAAAACTATCTACTATCAGTTTCCCTGTTGTGATTAGTTATGTTCCTTCCACCTGAATAGTTGTCGTTGTTGCGTTGATACAGTCGCGGAGATATGGAGGACGAGCAGTCAGTACTTGTTATGGCGAAAACAGTGACTCAACGTAGCATACCAAAAAACACAACAAATAAGATCTCACCAACGGAAACTTCCCTGAAAATTGCCTTGGTGTGATGAACAATACGCGTAGTTGACCATGCGCATTCTGCCCACATTGGTAGAACCAGGAATTTGATCACACTCGGAGGGAATGTGATTGTGGCCAAAGCAATAAGATTATCTTCACTTAACCGCACGGACCGCGCGGCACGGCTATCGAAAGGATGGGGAGGGCGGAGCTCAATGATATCAGTTACAATCAGTTTCCAATTGCATTCACTCAGGAATGTTTCACTCCGTAGTTGTTCTAACTTTCCAACACAACAAGGAGTGGCAATAGGTAGGAATAGTACTAATGGACAATAGTGATAATACAATAGTGAATATGAATAAAACTAATAGTAGCCGTCTTGTCTGTAATAACCACTATAAGGAGGCTGAGGAGGAGGAGGGGACGGGGAAGGCCCGCCGCCATATGGTCGGGGATAATATGGTGGTGGAGGCCCTGAGCCGTAACCATGTGGTTGGGGCGAATCTGACCGAAACGAGATCATCAACTTCTCAGGATTTCCTTCCAACCTACAGTTCATCCCCTCCATCGTCGGGTAACCCCCCGCTTCGTAATAGGGAGGTGCTTCCACCACAGGGATCGTACGTAGGGGATGAGGAGCCATCGGTCTTCGCTGCCTTCTACCCACCAGTGCTGAACACAATAACAATGCTAACCGTCATCATGATGATGACTAGGGTGGAGCTCACGTCGTGGTACGATTGGTGTTGCCCGTGATTGTTGATCTTCCGAAGCCACTTCACTGTAATCTGGGCTTTCCGGTGAACTACTCCCTCTGAGCGGCAAAGGAGTCGGCACTCTATTCAGTGGTGGGGGTAGGGGTAATGGTGGCAACTCTGGTGGGGGTAGTGGTCTCTCCCCCTCCCCCTCCAGGGACTCTGTATGCTGCCGCTTGAATGGCCGAAAACGACCGTCATCATCGGTAGATGGGGACGCCTCCGGGACTACACTAGCCATAAGGTCGTTGTATCTGATAACAACAATAACAACAATGACAACAACAACAATAACAACAATAACAATAACAACAATAACAACAATGACAATAACAACAATAACAATAACAATAACAATAACAACAATAACAACAATAACAACAACGACATTAACAATAACATTAACAGCAATGACAACAACAATAACAATAACAATAACAACAACAATAACAACAAGAAGAGCTTCTTACTCCTTGTCAAGTCTCCAGTCCTGCATGAGTTCATCATGACTAGGCATCCTATTTTGAGGGCAGTCCACAGTAGGGTGCCCCCTATCCCCACATATCTCACATCGCACATGCCTACGACAACGAACACCATCATCTCTCCCCCTCCCCCTCCTCCTTAGCCTTACCGCGCTAGTGATCTCCACCGTTCAATTTCGTCCAGACCGTCGGCCTCCAGAACACGCAGTTGACGTTGATGGAAATTGGACCCGATGCCCACCGTACCGTTTATAACCGCTAAGGCGTCTCTGCCGCGGGACTGGAGGACTTCATATCTGACATTGTGGAGGATGTTCTCATGGAGTGGTATGGGATTAACGACTACTCTCTACTGCCAGGAGTGAGGCATTGTTTGATGAACTCCACCGCCTCCTGAACTCGCTCCTCATCACTACCACTGAAAACAACAGACAATATCATCTACGTGGGGTGACGGCACGCGAGGGATGCCCGTGGGGTTGGCAGTAGTGGGAGTAGGAGTAGAAGGGAAGGAGTAGACATCAATTAACCAAAGCTATTTGAGCTCGCACTTCCACCGGCCCGCCAGGCTACGACTAGACTGCCTCATTCTCCCGGCCCTTCAGCTCTCCCTAGATGCCTATGAATCGCTCTCTATTTAAAACCCCTACGGCCACTGGAAGCCCATGGAATGTAAACCGACAACACTGTGTTATCGATTCCCACCTAATATGCACGTGTAGAGGAAGATTAGCATCCTCCTCAGCCAGCCAGGAAGTTGACGATGATCTGTCACCAGATGCTGAGGACTGCTGCTGCTGGCCGAAGAAATCCGAGTTCTTCCCCGTCCCTGCATACACGTACTCATCCAACCCTCCCTGACCCCAACTACCCCTTACCTCTACCCCTCAGGGTGATATCACAATCGAGGATCTCCTTCAACAAACGGTGATTGCACCCTCTAGGGCCAATAAGAACTCCCATGAAGTTCTCATTCGGGTACCTACTACTAGTACGAATGACCAAACACCATCTGGTCAAACCCTACTGCCACTACCTTTTCACCGGAACCAACACCTTCTGGATGTACTTAGGTTGCCGATACTCTGGAGGAGGGACGTAGTTGGGCACCTGTGATGTGATGTGATCATAGTGGCAGCCTCTCGAGACTCCTCACAGTCTTCATCATGGAGTGACAAAGTCTATTGAGTTCGTCGTGCATTCGGTGTTTAACTCGCAGCTCTCGTGTGTTGATCTTCTGCCCTAGACTGTTGTACACGGGTGGTGGGGAGGGTGCGCGCAGCTAAATGCAGTCGTGATAGTTGCATAAAACTCCTTATCATTATCACATCCTCATCAGCCAGCTCCAACTCCTTATTGGCCACTTTCACTCGTAGGTCCTCCAACCTGAGCTCCCGCATGAGCTGATCGACTTCGGAAATCGTGAGGCCAACAGGAACGTCCACTAGTGGTAGTGGGCGGTAGGGTATCTGGGGTCCAGCACGTGTTCATCGTGGAGTGGTATCAACTGAACTACTTCCTCTCTGGGCCCTAGATGGAAACGACGCCTTTTTTGTCCAGCCCTGCCCCTACCAGCGGCCGCTGGGCCTATAGAACCATAGACGGCCATCTAAGAGCAGTATGACATTAAAAAATACCCATCGCTGAATCGAACTCACGACCTTTCGAACGATCACCCACCACAATATCCATTCCACCAATATTACCTGTCCACGGCCCCTAGTATCATCACCAACCACTACAAGCTGGCCGCCCGACCATCCCGAGGGCTCCCATAGATCCAATCCCCGCACTTCATCACCCACCGGTACTATCGCCGAGGAACCACCAGCAGTGGGCCGAGGTAGCATATGGAGAGTACAACAGCAATACTAAAGACGATACGAACGGACAAGATCCTCAGGAGCTCAGCTACCACAACGTCGATGGTAGTAGAAAATATTATACTAGTACGAGGATTCCTATGAAAGCAAGTGTATACCACGCCGCTAGGGGATCTCACGATGAACTACTACGCCCAGTAGAGCCCTCCTTGGCTGGAGCCATCGGAAGGTCCTCGTCCATAGGGGGGTGCGACCCGGTGGGCGTCGAAGTAGACGCTTTCTTCGATGACGATCTCCACGGTGGGAGCACTGCTGACTTAGCCGGCCGAGGACTTCTGGTAGCCGCCTCTGTGGGGTCTTCCACTTCCTCCTTACCATTTCGAGATCGATGACCTACGGGCGGCTCAAGTAGAGGCGGAGGGCAGCCGAAATCTTGAAGAAGTCGTTGTTGATCAGACATCTGTGTGAGCTCGTATCGATCGGGCATTGATGAGTAGCAATAGTACTATCCGTGTTAGGCGTTCGTTCTCTGCAGTTAGGGAGCGTATTCTGGTCACCAACTCCTTCATCATGAGGGACCTCTCATCGGCCGGCAGGGGCGGAGGCGGACCGCTGGACACCTAAACCACCCAGTAGTGAAGAGGAAGTAAAGGAAGTGTGGTACTACTAGTTTGGCTAGAGGACCACAGTAGGGCGGGAAGGGAAATCTGAGCGGTCGAGGAGGTAGCAGACCTACCACGACATCAGCCATTAGCACACACCACCATCACTACCCATGGTCGCTGGTCCCCTCTGAGCTTGTGGTCCAGCCCTTCCCCCTCGATATCTAGGGTTCTCACTAGTGTATCTGTAAAGGCCCCACTAGAGAGTCTAACAAGAAAAGGACTTTACCTCCGAGACCCCACACCATCGATATCGCCGTAGTCGGCTACCCTCTGCCGTTTCCCCATAGCCCTCGAACTGATACCTCCAACTGTTGAGCTCTAAGACGACCTCAGTGAGTGATTAACATTAACGGTTCTAGTAGTACTTGGTTCAGTCGAGGAGCTCCCCCGGGGTCACCACGGGCCTTCTTATGGGCGTTTAGTAATCGGGAAAATTCATCGTCATCGTCATCATCATCAAGAGGAGGGGGTGAGGCTATTTTATTATTTACTCTCTCTACGGAAGAGGATGGGGCTTCTACCAATGAGGAAGCCATCACCGCATAAAACTGCCGATTGCCGATAGAACGCAGAGGAAAGTCACGACGATTATAAGTGAGCGATTTCATCCGGTTAGAGCGATTTTACCCGCGTTAAAACGCTCGTATACTGCGCACCTTTTCAACTAGAATGTAGATTTTCGAAGTGGTTTTCATGGTCAACACGGGCCTCAGCATCTCATCGTGGCGTGAGAGCAGCTGAAGCTCGACTTGCAGTTGAATATTATCCACACTAGCACGCGAACACACGGTCGAAACTGCGCAGTTTCTCAAGAAAAATCAATAGAGTTCCGAAACATATATTTTGTCAAATGTAACTCTTAAGGGTCGAAATTTCGAGACGTTATCACCCGTTTTACGTGAAGTGGCGTCGTAATACTCTGTGGAAAACGCGATATTTGCGGTGATATGCAGTAGTTAGTGTTTTTCATATAACTAGGGTGGAGCTCCGGTGTGTTTTCTGGGTTTCACTTCACCACCACTAAAACGAAATTTCTTATCAACTTTCTAAGGCCAGTATTTTTGCTATTGTGGTTAAGTCGTCATTGTTTCGCCTCCATCATGGACTCGATCATGGACTCGCACTCACTCGAGAGGTCTCCTCCCGCTCTAGAGGAGCTCTCCTCACCTCTCCTCACTAGACTACCCCATCCTCCACCACCGATCAGCAGTTTCAAGAGGCTCAGCCGATCGAGTCGAGCCAGGAGATCATCTGTCTCCTCTCAATAGATGGGGAATCGATGGTAAGCATTATAGCTGTTTTTTCAGAAGGCCATTTCAGCTCGCCTCACCCGCGGCTTACGTCCCAATGAGGAGTAGGGGTTTGCCAGATGACGATGACGATGCGAGCTGTTGCATGTCTGTGGACAGTATTGCGATTTCGGGGTGTACCTCCGTGAGCTCCCTTCGGGGAGATAACAATAGTGGCAAACGAGGGAGGAGGAGGAGAGTGAGCGAGGCTGAAATTGATAAGGAGAATTCGAAAGTGGGGTTATTTGTATATGTGAAGTACATAATGGTGATGTAGGCCCAAAGCAACGAGTGCATAGACCTTCGGAAGGAGTTGGTGGGTGAGAGGGAAGGGAGGCAACGGGCGGAGTCGTTGGTAAGGCAGTTGAAGACTCAACTGAGAGAATCCAAAGGGAAAAAAATTTCAAGTGATGAAAAGTGAGGAATTTTTGGTATAGCTGTATTGGGTAATATGTAGTTTTCAGGGATAAGAAAATCGATAGGTTGGTTCGTCGATTATCTGTGGTAGTAACAGAACTGGGGGAGGTTCGGAAGCAAGCTGAAGGGAAGGAGGAGACGCAGGAGAATGCTCGCAAGGAGGTGGGGAATTTCAAGGAAGTGTGGTATGAAATTACAGTATAACAATCGTCACTTTTCGTTGTTTGAGTAGTTATTCTCTCTGTAAAGTATCGGGCTGAACATGGGAATGTCCTCGATAGTTTTTCGGGGTTTCCATAAAGGTTGCTCCAGCATATGGAGAAATGTACAGGTCGCCAAACAGAGACTTCAATATTGGGAAATTAGTCTTGGTTTTTTTTCATACTCCTACCCAGAGCTGTGGTTGGAACGGTGAACAAACTCCTGAGCTCAGGAGCTGAGGAAGTGGGGGAGTTTTTCACACTTTCACCAGAGTGATTTCGAATGAGAGGTTATTAATATCAAATTAAAAACCATCACTGAGTAGTGATTCGATAATTTTGTTAATAGTTTTTGGGCTTCGGAACATGTACAGTACTAGTCGTCTAGAGAGGAGGAATATGTGTGCAACCGTAACTTCTTCGAAAATGGGAGTTTCAAGTTAGTTTTTTTCCTCGTAAACGGCAGTTTACGAAAATTCTCACCTGTGGTACGGGACGCCCGCGCGCTTAGTCTCTCGAATTTTTCGTGTGTGTATTGGAGTTTCACGACCCGTTTTTCGTGAAGTGGAGTGATACTCTGTGCAAAAAACCCGATACTCGCGCTATGCAGTAGTCGTGAAATATGTTTTTCATATCACTAGGGTGGTGAAACTCCACTAGGATGTCTTTACTCGAGTGAATATTCTCACTACCCAGTAGCCGTATATGTACTGATCGTTTTTAGATAGCAAATGTAAAGCGAGTCGCGGCTCGAGAGCGATCTCAGCAATTGCAAGCGGTAGGAGTAGGTAGTTGCTGTTGGTGGTTATCTTTCTTTGAAGCTCGCTGACCTACGGCACGCCTCTACAGAGAGGATCGCTGCGCTCACTGCGAAGTGTGGGAAGTTGGAGGAGGCGGTAGCTCACGAGGAAGGGCGCAAGGAGGAAATTGAAAAGTGATAAACTTGTGTGATTAGCTGGGGAGGGAGGGGGTGTTGAACTAGGCAACGTGAGCGAGTCGTCGCGATGGAGATTGTCATTGAAAGCTTGACGCAAGAAGGGAAGGAGCAGACGGAGGCCAACCGCTTGGTGAGTAGTGCGTGAGAAATACTCACTATAGTTGAGTTTTTTCTCTCAGCTGCGGAAGAATATGCAAATTTTAGAGGAGAAATTAAGAACAGTTGAGGAGGAAAAGAAAAAGGAGATCAACGTGGTGAAATCGCAAGAAGCGGAGTAAGCCTATTGGAAGGAATTTGATCGATAGTGTTTGCAATAGGCGAACGAAGCAGCTGCTTGAGCGTATTGGAGCCATGGAAGGAGAGCTGGAGGAGAGGGAGGGTCGCTTTAGAGTTAACGAGGAGGAAGTGAAGACGGCGAAGGGTGAGGTGGAAGAGATTAAAATTGAACTGGAGAAGGTGAGCCCAAACCTTATGAAGAGAGATGGATGATTTCAAGAAAAATTTTTTGGTGGTTTTTGTGAGCTCCTACGGGAGTGGTGGTGCAGTTGGGAGGAATAGGAGATGAATAATTCAGTTTTTTCCGTCAGAGTTTATACACTAGGAAAGCGAATTGAGTAAGTTGTGGTATTCGCGTCTCGAATGAGAGTGGAAGGTGAATATAGTACTATTCGGAAAGTGGTGCGAGGTGATAATTTTTGGAGAATTTTGAGAAGTGCCATTTTCAGGAATTCCCAAAATCTATTAAAATCTTCACACATGAGAAATGAAGATGAGTAGAAATACTTTTTTTATTTTTCAAAACGGCAGAAAATCTGAGAAATATTACTTGGTAAGTTGGAAATGGTATTTTGCAAGGTAAAAATAATAATTTTGTTTATAGAAATCCATGTCGTCTTGACGGTTGGGGTTGCACTGTGCGTAGAAGTGTATGGTATGCATTTTCCTTCAAGGTGTATGCGGAATTGTCGGGACTGAGGCGACAAGTGGAGTTAGAGGAGAAAAGAAGGGTAGCAGTAGAGGAGCGGTATGAGAAATTGAAGGGGGCTGAGATGAAGAGGTAGTGGAAAGATACTAATCGTGCCCAGGAAGAAAGATTCAAATCAGTTGGGAGAGGTGTCATCACTTAAGTTGGAGTTGGTGGA